TGCATTTTCATAAGATTATTATTTTTTCACACTTCAGAATAAAGTTATATCTGAAAAAATGAAAAGGTTTAAGGAACGGTCAAACAGCTTCCCTCCGAATATTGTTCTAAAAACACATTATTTTCAAATCACAAAAGGGCTCTAAGTGTCTAATTTGTAAGTAGTTTGTGACTTGTTACTATACTTTGGGTGCAATGAATGTCTTAAATGTTTTGCCTTTCAATAATTTAACATTCAGTCGTTTCAGTCTTATAACTCTTTATAAACAGGTCATGCGTAGCCTTTAGATTAATTATTCGACTTAAAAGTACGGATGTTACTAAACACCCGTACTTTTCCGCTCCAAAAGTTCAATATATTTAATTACGGAGTATTACATAATTGTAGCCCATACCATGCCATTAACAAATAAGTTTTAGGGCATCCTCATTGTTGAGATTATTTGGAGAGATCAATTTAATGATGTGGAAGATCTTTATTGAGTTCTTCCATGAGAAGATGAGATTATTGTGCGAGACTATTTATTAAGAAAATCTAGTAGCAAATTTTGAATCTAGATTAATTTGAGATTATTTCCAACTTTTTCATTTTTCAAGGCTTTGAAATTTGTGATGGATGTATTATTACTTGATGGGCAACGAGTGACCCATCTAATTGGTGTGAGAGCATTTAATTGTCACATAAAAATCTCAGTAAATGGAGATCATTGCTGAGGGGAAGTTAATAGATTATGAGATTTTTTATATGTGGCGATTATGTTGCAACAATGATCCATAAAACTCAGTTTATTTGAGTAGCATATATGAATGGAATGGCGATGCTGTTAATGCTATTTTTCGTACTATTAATGAGGCTCCTCTTTGTATTGAATGTACAAAAATGTTGGTTGCATAGTCTTTGCGATAGATGCTTTTAAATTCCCTAAGAACAGAAAAACTTGCATTTGCTTAAGATCAAATTACACTATATTTGTGAAATGTAGACATTTCATTTGGCTTGGGAAATCTATCTATACATTATTAACTCAACTTAGTGAACTCCCGCCTAAATTCTTTGGGTATTTTAGTGAACTCCTCATTTACTTATCCCTTCATCTCACCTACTAGCCCTCGTGCGTTTGTTCATCTTTCCTAACAATTCAGACCTCTCCCACCTTATCCTACGCGGCACTCAATCGCACATCTGCTCTCAAACTCTTCTTTTTGCTAGGTATCTTCACTTCTAATTTTGTTCTTTGTTTTTACTAGTCTAACACTTTTAACACATCAATGTTAAGAAAAACTTATAATTTGTTTTTCTATCAGTATACATTTAACTTCCTTCTCTTCTTTGTTTTTTTTTATATAAATAGACCACTGCCATGCGCTTGCATTTCGTATTACACACACACACATTCATATACATTTCTCTAGCAAAACCCCAAATTTTGAGAAATTTCTCTGCAAATTTACTATCATTACGTTTGATTCCATGTTCCATTTGCTCTCCATGACATTAGACTTGGTCTGTGGTCATGGAAAATATTGAATTATTTATTAGGACTACGTTAACTTTATGCACAGAACATGTTTGATGAATTACTCCCTCCGTCCCAGAATTAACTTCGGTTTTGACTGGGCACGGAGATTAAGAAAGTGGGAAATGTGTGGTGGAGAGTTGTGCAGAGGAGAGAGAAATGTGTAAGAATGGTTGTGAACCACAAATCCTTTGCTAAAAAGGGAAAGAGGAGATAAATTTGGGACGGACCAAAAAGGAAAGAATGAAGATAATTATGGGACGGAGGAAGTATTTCATAAAGTTTTACCCCCTCATAAATGTGTTTATATATGCTTGATTAATAGCGTTCTGAAATATTGTATTATTCAAAAGAGTAAACCTACAATAATTTTTTCTCTTTCACTTACTATGTTATGAAGTCATAGCAGAAAAAGGAGAAAATGATCAAGGAGAAACTTTCAAGGGAAAATCTGCAATTTTCTTCTTTTGGTTCCATATTCAGTTTGATTCTGTGCTTCTTTGTGAGAAATGAACTCAAACTGTTTGCTGATATGTTCATGTCTCTCCCAAAGTCGTAACATAATAAGAGAATTTTGAGAATAAGCATCTGAAAGTATTCTTCTCTTCTTATTACTATGCTAAGAAGTCATAGCCGAAAAAGGACAAAATCAATCAAGGGAAGCTTTGAAGGAAAAATATGCAACTTTGGTTCTCTTGCACTTATTATGGTTTGGTTCCATGTTCAGATGGATTTTGTTTACTCATTCTATTTTTTCATTAAGTTTTGCCGGCCCTTTCAACAGTGTTTTTATATATGTTTCATGAAGTTTGAAATATTGATTTATTCAAAAGAGGAAATAATGCACTTTTCTATTTAGTAACAAAAGTTTAATGAGAAATTAGCACTTTTAAATTTGTACACTCTTAAATCATTATTTTGGGCTAAAGTCTTAGCTCAAGAAGAGAATTTCTTAAAGGAGAATTGAAAAAGGAAGTCATAGCAGAAAAAGGAGAAAATGATTAAAGATAAACTTTCAAGGAAATATATGCAAATTTTCTTTTCTTTCCATTACTATGTTAGGAAGTCCCTTTCCATCATTTTCAATGGAGCCAATGACTCACTATTGTTTGACTTGGGAATATGATGAAATAAAACAAAATGGCTCACTGAACTATCTGTGTTTCTTTGTTATGAAGTAACAGTCAGTTTATGCAATTTCAACGCGTTTTTCACTATGGGTCATTCAGAAACAGTCTCTCTGTGATTTAGTATAGGGGTAAGACTATGTAAATCCAACTCCCCTTACCCCACCGTAGGTGGGAGCCTTTGCGGCACTGGAGTAATGATGATGACGACTATGTTAGGAAGTCATAGCCAAAAAAGGATGTTTCTAAGGAAATAGGATGTTTTAATGGGCTGTTTGAACTCTATGTTTTAACAGGATATTAATTATTCAATGGGCTGTTTGAACCCTTTTATGAGCCCGTTTGGTAGCACGAAAATCGGCTGTTTTGGCTGATTCTGCTGAAATTTATGAAATTCTGGCTGAAGTGGCTGTTTTGGCTGATTGTGCTGATTCAAGAAAAAAATATTTTAGAAATATATTTTATCAATAAATTATAGAAAAAATTACATGTAAAAATAGCTAAAATAGTCCTCTACAGTAACTTCAGCCAATACAGCCAGAAAAGTAACTCCAACCTTACTTTTTCTGCTTATTACACAATTCAGCACACAAAAGTAAAAGTTACGTGTTTGGTGAAAAAGCTGGCTGATAAGCCTGATAAGCCGAAAAAAGAGGTCTCCAAACGGGCTCTATGTCGTGTAAACCAGTTGTGAGTATGTGTTTTAATTAACTAGGGATTAACATCTAGAAGTACTACATTAATAGATCTTTGAGTGACTTTGGTTATCCCAAAAGAGCAAGGTAGTGACGCAGAATAGTTCTTAGATATAAAACAAGTTTAGATAACATAACCCCTAAGGTCGCTTTTACTCTTTTATTATTTTATTAGCAAATATACAAATAGTTGGGAAATCTGTTCTTATTAATACATCTACTATTTTGCTTCATGAAATGACCATATTATTTTAATTCCAGGATTCCCTTCAAATGTAGGAGCTCAAATGTATGTAATTATTCATGTTACAATCTATTACTATACCATATTGATTTGGTGGATTTTTATTTTCATCCTTCTTCTATCCTTTGATAGGTTATAGTCACCACATTAAGTGGAAAAAGCCGGAAGTTGATTAATGTTGTGTGTTTAGTAGGGTGAGATGGGGGTAGGGGATCAATATCCTTATCTATTATTGGATAACAAAATCATGTTTCTAACTTGTCTTTTTCATGGTTAAATGATCCATAGCTTTAGTTACTTGCATGTTTCTAGCTATTTATTTGTTTTATGTCTGAATGTTGATTTCATAGCTATGTTCTGAACTTGCATTCCATTGTCTAGATATAATTGCCTCCGAATATGTCTTTTAAGAAACATATCTTATGATGTCTCTAAAGGGGGTATTACAGGCCACCACCATTTAGGGATCAATTATTTGTTGGCAACTACTAAATTGCCTCAAAAAAGTATTAGAGGCTATTTTGTACTTTTTACAAGCAATTATATCATGCCTCTATAAACCAATTTTATTGTAGTGATTATAACGGTAACAAAGATGGTGGTGGTGATTATATTTAAATTAAAACTATGTGCTAGAATATTTACCCCATATAAGTGAGATCTATATTGATAATTACCAATTCAAGTAGGATTCTTATCATGTCCCCTGTACATTGATTAGTACATAGTCCCTCCGTCCCTTAAAACTTTGTCAACTTTCCTTTTTTAGATGTCTCACTAACTTTGCAACTTTCTCTTTTTTAGATGCTTGTTCAACCCCTTTTTGCAGAGAGGAATGATATTTAAAGAAAATTGAAAATTATTGTTCATCAACAGAAGTGTTCTGTGGATTTTAAACATACTATGAAAGTATGAATCATGTTACAAAAAAAAAAAAAAAAAAAAAAAAAAATTGTGGTTCCAATTAATTCTCTCTCCTCTGCACAAACCTCAACCACGCAGTTTTTACTTTATTAATCTCCGTGCCGGTCAATCTTGGCAAAGTTTTAAGGGACGGAGGGAGTACTATTTTTTAAATAATTCTTTAATATGTAGCACTCTATTTCTTTTTTTATTTCAGGTAGGTGTTGTTCATTTCTTTAACATTATGCATGGTTTTATGGTTCTTAATTCTTATGACACAGTTTTTGAATGTGGAGGAATGCCTAGCACAAGATTTGGCCGGTAGCAGTGAAGGAAGAATATTCTAGACTTTCTGCACTTTTGAAGGTTAGAACTACTTTTATGCTTAATATAGCAGGAATATCTTATGAACTCGTCTTATATTATTATTTAAAGATTTTAGACCTTCAGTCGAACACTATTGTCTTATAGAATAGTAGGTGTTAATGAGCAATAATTCACTGAAACAGTGAAACCCACACCTTTTCATAAACTAGAATAATAGGATACTAGCCTAGGTATATATGGCTTGTGCCATTAGCTGAAGCAAATTCTCCCTGGGGTCTTTTTTACAAACAATACACATGCACCAATGAAATCTTAACCTATCTTAATAAAGGACAGATTTGATATTAAATGCTTATTGTTCCGTTAAGTCCTCTTCACCTATGCATTATTCTAATGTACTCTGTGCCATCGATGAGGTACGTTAACTCCAATAAAATCTTAAGGAACCGTTATGTTGTAAACGGTGTGTGCGTCTGTCATGTTAACGCTAAAAAATCGTTAGGTTAACCTACTATTTATTCTCTTCATCGTTTACCTAATATTTCTTCCCTCTATCGACAATACGTTTAGGAAGCCAGAGGGACATGGTTTTCCAGTCTCCGTTGGAGAAGTTGGAGCATCGATATGAAGTTATTGCCCAATCAAATTTCTGTTTCTGAATACTTAAAACTCTTCCTCCCCGCGTCTATAAATGGGATTTCAGCTGGATTCCGCATCTTTTTCACGCAGCCGGTCGAGAGTTTTACAGGTAAGGTTGTTATTCTTCTCTAACTTTTGAAGTTTATTTGGTGCAATTTTTTCTTTTCTTGTGTTTATTCTCCTGTTTTCTAATTATGTTTTCGGAATGCATAAAAGACTGGTAGAATTGGATGCACAGATGCACTTATATTAACCTGAATATATTTATATTAACCTGGATGCAATTAGGATTTCACATAAAAATCACACTTGCGCACGGCAGGTGTTTGATAATGTGCCTAGCTCAAGTCAGCCGAAAGATTTGGGTTACCTGTTGTGATTGTAATATCCAGTTTGCTACAAATGTTTCTCTACAACATTTGTTTCTATACTCCATCTTGAATAGGTTAAGATTTAGGATCATGGGGAACTTACAAAAAAAGGTTGAGGAAGGAGGGAATGCTCCTGGAAAAGAGGAAGTATTCAATGCCCTTTATCTTCCCCAAATTAAATTTCCCAACAACAAACCTAATAGGAAGTGTTAAAGAAGGTATAGAAGTTAAATTAGTCTTGCATTATTATATCTAGCTGCAACCTGGTGGGACTTCTGGCAATTCAGGGATGCTCTCCAATGAAGGCTTCCACCAAAAAGCTCTCCCCCCATCTCATCTTCAAGAGATCCTATAACTGATAATCCCAATTCATAATGCCTCCCCCTCCTGTCTGCAGCTGGAACAGCAGCCCCTGCAACTCCTTCATCAAGATAATCTTAGCTCTCTTGTTAGTTGTTACTATTGCTGAGTTTTTTCGACCCACCAATTTTTTTGTATGAACATCTCCCAGCCTCTTCCACCCATTTTTCTTCTTCTTATTCTTCTAATGGCTATCCATGTAATTCCCCATGATTTTTTCTCCTCAAAGCTGCAAATATAAATGTGTCTTTCTTCCATTTCTTCACTCCTTAGAATATGATATCCAACCATGACAATATAGAGTGCATAAGTAGACTTTATGTGTATACATATGTATATGTGTTATTCATTTGTGTATACAGTACACTAAACACCTCATTAATTAATTACTTCATATTTTATACCAATAGTTATAATGGTTAATAACTTTAGAATGAGATTATATATTCCTGCTCACCACATTTTGATCCTGGTAGAATGATTTTTTGTAATAGTTAATAACTTTAATAGTTAATATATAGTTAATAGTCAATTAATAACTTTAGAATGAGATTATATATTCCTTACTACCCTATTTGTGTTAACGTCTAGGCAATACTTTGGTCTGGAAAAACTGGCCAAGGAAAACATGGCACTTATATTAATAGTTAATAGCTCATGCAAACCCCTTTTGTGATATTCAACATCTAGGCGATGTTTCGGTGTAGGATAATTGTAGCGAAAGGAATACTAACCAATGAAAACAGTTTCTTTTATTGTTTGGTTTCACCTTGAAAATCTGAGGTAAAACCAACTTTGATTATAACTTTTCTAAATAATCACAAATCTTTTGATTTTATTGTCTTTGTCTTTATACCATGTATAATAGAAATATAAGAATTAATTGAGGTTAAACAAATATCTATATTTCATTTTTTAATCTTGGATTTTTAATATTTCCCCAAATTTTCATGCCTCAGAATTTCTCATCTCTTTTCTTTGTCATTTACTTGGCATAACATTTTCCGGGTTCCAAAATAAACTCAAACTCTCAAAGTGATCCGGACAAGTTGTAGCATAAGAAAAAACTAGCTAAGGAAAAAAATAATTCTAATGTTTGGTTTCACCCTAAGAGTGTCCAGTAAAATGAACTTCGGTCATAGCTTTTAGTATACTCACAAATATTTTGATTTTGTTTTCTTTGTACTCTGTAAAAGAAATAAAAAAATAAACGAGGTTGAACATTTATGTTGAATTGATTTGTTTAGTTTGAATTTCTTTTATTTACCCCGAATTTTCTTTGTCATAATTTCTTATCACTTTTCTTTCTCATTTACTTCCCCTAGCAATTCTGGGTTCCAAAATAAACTCAAAGTGATTTTTTGTTCCCATACAGATTTCATTTTTTTCCTATTACATTTAAGTTAAATTAGCTGCAAACTTATAACAGTAACTTCCTATGTGATTTCATGTTAGATTTTCATCCACCAGGATCATAATTGGTTCATCCTTTTAGTTTTCATGCCGTTATTTTGATTAGACGAACTTTACTATAACCCCCGTCCTCATGAAATGGTTATACTTTGGATTATCTCCTCACATGAATAATTTTGAAGTGCATTTTTATCTTTTAACAACAACTTATCGTTTTACCTTTTGTCTTTACTAATGCAGTGATTTTCCTTATTATCATTGGAGGGAAGCAAATTTACTCTATCAAGTCAGCTTGGAGGATTATTCCTACTCCCCAGTGTCTCCCTGGTTGTTTATCAACTTTCAGACACTTCTCTATGTCGTTTTCATTGCTCAGAACATCACACTTTGATCTGTTTCTTTCTAGATCACCATCTTTCCGGAGCTTGGTCAGTGCCATTGAAGAGTCTGGAGTCAGATTTAATACTTCTTCCGGATATGAAACTCTTGAGACATATTGATCTCTGCCCACCATTACATAACAATGTCCACTCCCGTGGAATGCCTTATTATCACCCCAATCTCGTGAGTAATAAGATGTAGGCCTTTTTATTCAAATATTACTATTAATTAAGAGATTTCTAATAAAGTGAGTTAAGTTCCAAAAGTCCAAAAATATGACTTTCAGCAAACCGTTGCACACCAAGGAACAAGGCCACTAATTCAGTGGCACACCAATCCATTTAATACTGAAAAGGCCAATAATGAATTTTAATATTGAAAATGGAAAAGAGTTACTCCTGCATCCACAACCGCCACTTTTACCATTAGCGCCGCCAACAGTCTTGCCGCACTACCGCTAGTGACTTGCTCTGGCCACAGTGACTCCGGTCAAAGTGACTCTGACCATCACAGTGACTCCGCCGCCATAGTGATCTGCCGCCACAGTGACCCGTCGCCACAGTGACCAGCCGCCACAGTGACTCCGACCACAGTGACTCTGGCCAAAGTGGCTCCGGTCAAATTGATTCCGACCATCACAGTGACTGCCCACCCACCAGCCAAAGTGACTATCCGCCCAATTCAGTCCATCGTAGCCACATTCCGGCCACAATGATCGCCAATCAGTGACTGCCTTGCCCCAGCCGGTGATTGCCGAAGTCCCCGGTCAGTGATTGCTGCCGCACCCGATCAGTGACTGCCGCCGCACCCCGGTCAGTGACTGCCGCCGCACCCTGGTCAATGACTTCCACCCCCAGCCAGTGACTGGCGGTGCCCACTGGCCAGTGACTGTAAGCCCCACCCTCTCATTGCGTTATACAGTGACACCTCCACCACCCACGCCACACCACCCTAGAGCCGTTGCGGACCACCACCACAGACCACCGTCGTGGCCCCCAGCCACCTCCCCTACCCCGTCCAATTCTCCAGCCACCTCCCCATCCCCCGCCCAGCCCTGGTCTCATCTCTTCTTCCCCTGTCACCCAAATCCCTGGACCACCCCCGCCCCACCACTCCCCATCCACCACAACGTTGCACCCTAGCCCACAAACAACACCCTACCTTCCAGCCCCGCCTTAGCCACCAGAACCTGAGCACCCTACCGCACCTGATTACCTGAGCACTCAGAACGAATCAGATCTGAAACAAATTGAAATTCTTCAAATTCAGTCTGGAATTTCAATTGTGTGGGCGTGGGAAGCGAGGTTATCAGCGGCGAGTTGGCAGCATCGGTAGAGCATCGCAAAGTCGGAGTTGTAGCGGCGTGCTTCTGAACCGAAAATCCTGCACTTGCTCGAGCGACGCCTGCGAGAGAGAAAGGAGTAGAAGAAGAAAGGGGATTGCGGCAGCTGAGGAGGCGGAGCGGCGTTCGGCGAGGAGCGGTGAGGAGCCTGTGTGCACCCTATCGAGCTCGTTGCTTCAATCGTCGTTGAGATGAAAGAAGATGGCATTCGGCTGTTGGAGGTCGCGTAAGATGGGCGCTACACTAAAGTCATATATTTGGGAAAATTAAAAACAGTCTTATTTTTGTATATCAAAAGTCCAGGAGTCACATCTAGGCCATTTTTTCTAAGATGTAGCACTTCCTTTACAAAAATAGGACCAAGAGCTCAAGCCAGCAGCCAAAGCCTTTGTAGAAAGGACTTTTTTACTATGTGAGAATAAAATAAATCCTTATTCATACATATATAAGGATTTTACCGTTTGATTTATGCAATGAAACACTACAATATTTATTTTATATAATAAAGCTTTTAGATTTTATCTCATATACTCAAACCATTATACTCATTCACTCATGTCTAAAACATTTACGGCCATATTTGTCATCCTCAAACAACAATGTCTTTACACTTATACCAGTACAAAACTGCTCCAAAATACAAACATGTAGCACATTTTATAACAATAGATACTAAAAAAATCATTTGCAATTGATATTCAAAACTTAAAAACAAATTCAACAACTTTTAGTGTTGGGCATATTACATTCGCGCAACGCGCGATCTAATTTCTAGTTAGATAATATTAGTTCATTTTCTTTGGGGTTTAAAGATATTTCTCCCTTTGCTACAACATGTTCTCCCCATCTTTCTTTTTTTTAATCAGTTCCAAACGGTTATTAATTATTTCGGATTGGAGGTGATTTTTCCAACTGAATTGCGAACGAGGTATTCTATTGGCTTATTTCTAATTAAATTGTGTTTACTTTTTTAAAGTTACTTAAAATACTCATATACCATTTAATGTGTGACAAGTTGACATGGAGAATAACAAAATGTAAGGTGATTTACAAGAATATGACTAGTGACTAGAGTAGTAATGAAATCATAGTAATTCATGTTCAAGTTTTGAGCTTAAGTTACCAAAACACCATATTGTAGTAATGAATAGTCATATTTATGTAAATATATTTTATTTTAGTAATATTCTTGTAAAAAAAACCTTTCTATTTTTATAGACTGTGAAGGTATCTTACACTACAAAAAAACACGGTCGTAGTCACGGACTTAGTCACGGACAGCAGTTCAATTTTTCCGTGACTAAATGATGTAGTCACGGTCGCTGGCCGTGACTAAATCCGTGACGTAATGGGCGTGACTAAATTGAAGTCACGTCCAACGGACCGTGACTAAATTTAGTCACGGACTAGTCACGGTCAGAAGCCGTGACTATAATACCCGCCGGAACCCCACTCCGGCGTATTAGTCACGGTCTGAAACCGTGACTAAGTTTTTTTAAAAATTAATTTTAGTAGTCACGGCTTTGGACCGTGACTAATCTTTCAAATTTTCAAAATTTTTAAAAGACCGCCCGCGGCGGTAATTTAAATTTTTGAAATTAGTCACGGGTGTCGACCGTGACTAATTGGTTTTTTATTTAAAAAAATAATAATTTCGGATTAATAATAGTCACGGATAAGCCCGTGACTACTTTTTTTGTTTTTTTAAAAAAAAAATCTAGTTTTCGTTTTTTTTTTTAAGTTATTGAAAATATTATACTATTTTTTATAAAATAGTATACAAATTGAATTTCAAAATTACTTTCTTAAAATTACTTTTTTAAAAACGGACGTTTACAAATTAAATTTCAAAATGTTTTTTGAAAAATGAGTTATTGAAAATATTATACTATTTTTTTTAAAATAAATACATTTTAAGAGTAAAGACATACAACAAATTCAATAAATATTGTGACAAACTTTTAAAAGTTTTGAAATACAACAAGTAATAAATGTATGATGATTACATGTCCCGTGGGACTCCATTATGATAAAAATTGGGATTTTCTTCTTCTTCTTCTTCATCATCAACAAGAAACTCATCTGGGTTCACGGGGGGATCTTCAGGGTCAGGTCGGGTTCCTCCTCGGGGTGCTCCTCGGGGTCCTCCTCGGGGTGCTCCTCGGCCTCCGTGGCTCGGTGTGCCACTACCTCCTCCGGATGACCTCGCAAAATCAAAGGACATAGAACCGAAATTCGGGGAGATCATAGGCATGCCACCATATCCGGAGTTGGGGAAAAATCCCATACCGCCCATGTGCGGAACTTGAGGAGTTTGCTCAGGGTGGAATACGTACGGGGGAGGAAAAGGCTGTTGCGGAGGCTGGAATCCGGCACGCATGTACCGTTCCATCTCCTCCAACCGGGCTTTTGTGGCAGCATCTGCTTTCCGCTGCTCCTCCCATCGCCGTTCGTGCTCCTCTAGTTCACGCTGCATTGTGGCAATACGGGGATCTTCTCCCCGCCTTGACCGAGAAGAGGAAGCGCCGGTGCTTCGATCATACAAAATCCGTTGCCCCTCAGCCCCCAAGCACGGAACCCGGCCCTTGTAAACCCCGGCCGCCTCAATGGCCGCCTCATCATCCGCATCGGAATCGAGGTCGTCCTCCTGGGTCAAGCCTCGTGCCGCACGCTGCCTGTCGAGGGATTCGTTGTACTTCGTCTGCATTTTCAAAAAGATTTTTTAAATGCTACATACTTAGATTTGAAATGTTACTAAATAACAAAATATGATGTTACATACTTCGAAGTCGGCGAGGCGGGGTGGCAAATCGGCTTCAGATTCCTCGCCGTGCTTCGTCCAGCAATGCTTGACGAGCCGGAGAACATCAACCTTCTTCTTCTCAGGACCAGCCTAAATGGTGTGAAAAAGACTTAAATTAAATTTTTTATAATGAAGGAATGTGATGTTGTAAGGTTTTTTGAATAGCACTTACAAGAGTTTCTTTATGGGCATTCTGAGATTTACGACCTCCGTGCCACTGCATCTCCAAGGCCTTCTCGGACATCCGGTTTTTCTTACCGGATTCACTTCTGGACAAGAATTTCGGATCAGAAGACCAGTGGCGACAAAGGTTGGACCACACTTCATCCGAAACCCATCTAGGCTTTTTCCCACTTTTTCGCGCACGTTTAAAAGTGGCGCGAAGCCAGGTCGAAATCCTAGCATTGTAGGCTTTAAGAATATCGGCACCGTTTGCGTGAGTCCAACGATAGCGAGCCTTTATTAAAACAAATTGGATTAATTAATCACCAAGTATTAGGCCAATACAATCAGGAAGGGAACATTCATTTATTTTTACCTTGAACAGGTTCCACCATAGTTCGCGAACCTTGGGGTCAACATCTGACAATGTGGCCCAAGTGCCAAGAAAGTGTCCTCCGATGATGTTTTTGATGCCCGTGAACACGTGTTCGTCACTTAAAAAAATTAATAGTATTTATTTATATACTACGTTTAAACCTACACTAAATTATTACGTTAATGACATTTAATCTTATTAGTAATACACAATTAACAATTCACTAAATTAAATAATATGACCAAATTCAACCCAATAATTTGAACATGTATATAAAGTTATTTGAATTAATAAGCAATACACAATTCACAATAACAATTCACAATTCACTTAATTAACACATTACTAACGTACGTTATTTGAACTAATTTCACTAAACATAAACATCATTACGTTTTAAACCACATTTATCTAACTAATTTTAATTAAATTATTTTAATTTATAAACCTAAAAGTTTAACTAATTCTAATTTATGACATTACTACGCTTATAGTTAAAACATGTTGTTAATTAATTAACAACCTCACTAATTTAATAGTTTTAATAATTTAAATTGAACCAACTAATTCTAAATAAAAA